GGCTGGACAAGATCCTGGCAGCTGTTTCAGAGGAGGTGAGAGGAGGGGAGTCTGGTGGGTGAGGGGTGGGCAGTGTGGGCATTGACAGCACTGGTGGTCATGGCACCATCCCTCCTTGCAGTACCTGGACCTCTCCATGCCCTTTGAGCAGTACTCGCCCTCCTGTGAGGACACTGCCAGCTCCTGCTCCTCTGATGACTCCGTCTTCACCCACGACCCGCTGCCGCTGGCTCCTCACCTCTTCTCCTACCCCAGCGTGAGGACTTAAGGGAGGGCAGGGAAGGGTGATGCTGAAGCCACCTCTGCCCTTGCAGGGAGGGGGTCCAGGTTCCCAAAGGTGCCTGCTTTGTCCGGGCTGAGCAGTGGGTGGGCAGGGCCCTGAGCCACAGCACCAGGGCAGGGTGTCCCTCTCCCCAGGCTCCTTTTGGGCACCAAGCCATCAGCGCTGGCTGAGATGTGCCTGGTATTGTGGGGCAGCAGGAGCCAGAGCCTCTCCATGTGGGCACTGCCTGGCATGCCCATGGCATAGCCCAGGGAGATGGGCTTTGGCCAGTGCTGCAGTGGAAGTGTCTCTGGGCAGGAGCCCCACTGCTGCCAGGCTCCTGCTGCATCTGTACATAGCCACAGAGATGAATATTTATGTACATGAAATTTCAACCTGATAAATTATTTTTTTGGAATACACCCCGGTGCAGTTTCTGGGCTGCTCTGGAGCACAAAGGGCTCACCTAAGCTTGGAGGGCAGGTCAGGGTTTGCCTCCTCGCTGCCTCCTTGCTCCAGCCATTTCAGGGCCTGCAATCACTCCTGGGGGGACACAGAGACAGTGCCACAGGTGCAGGAAGTGATGTCCCCACTCCTGTGCCTCCAGGCCTGCTCCAGCACAAAGCACCCTTGCATCTGTTCCCCATTAGCCACTGCTGCACTAAGCCACCGTGAACTGCGCTACCAGCACTGCCCTGAAACTGATCCCCCAACTGCCACGGGCTCCCAGGCTGGGAAAGTGCTCTGGGGCCCAGCCCCACGCACTGGGGACCCCCCGCACCCTCCTGCCCAGGCTGGCCCAGCACTCCAGATTAAAGTGAGTTATGGGCTCTGTCTCCCCAAAGCCCGTGGGAGCACCAGTTGGGGGTCTCCAGCCCCTGCTCTCTGATGCCTGTGTTGCCCCCCCTTGCCCGGTGGTGCCCAGCAATGACGGCAGCGTGGGCAAGGAGGGCTGCAGCTGTCTCACCCCCTCCTGCCAGCCTGCTCCCCGGGTCTAGGGTTTCATCCAGGCCCAGGCTTTGCCGGCCGTTAGTCCCAGGATCTGGTTTCCTCCTTCAGCTCCCAGCTGCACTCACAGCCCCCCGCCTGGAAGCTGCCCCTTCCAGCATGGAAGCTGGCTCTGTGGCACAGTCTGCCCCAAAACAGCCAAGGTGATGGGGGCTGCCAGGTGCTGTGGGGCAGGACCTGGGCCCAGGGCAGCTGGAAAAGGAGTCCCTCAATCCTGGCTGCTGCTGTGGTGGTGCCCAGGTCTGGGGTCGCAGGAGACACAGAAGTTGGGACTCGACACAGCCTTGGGTGTTGTGAATTGTGTGTGCTGGGAGCCCAACAACTTTCAGAGCCATCCTGGTGTCCCCTCCTTTTCACAGCCCTCACAGGGCTGCTGTGGGGATCCCACTCCACTGTCACGCTTGCAGCCTCCATGTCCAGCCCAGCTCCCCTCTCTGCTGGGAGGAGCCCCCCATTCCCCAGGGCGGGTGGGGGCAGACAGCCCCCTGGCAGGTGTGAAACCTGCCTGTGCCGGCAGCCTGCCTGCCCGGGAAGGATCCCAGCTGTCCTGTAATGTGCCAGAACCAATGCATTTCGCACAGCCCTGAATGGGGCATTCACACGCTGAAGGGCAAATTGCCCAAGCTGCCCACAGGGGCTGCCCAGATCCCGGCTGGGACTGAGACTGAACACAGGGAGGGGCTGTGCCCAGCTTGTCCCCTCCTCACTCCAGCCTGGGGTTTCTGTGCTGAGGGTAGCACACAGGGCAGGCAGTTCTTGCTCACCCTGCACTGCCTTTCCCTGGGTTCAGGGGGAGGCATAGGTGGGTTTGCTAACGCTTAATACCAAAGGGAAGGAGTGGGGCAGAAGGGGACATTGTGAACAGAGACCTGCCATCCCCTGCCAAAGCCTCACTCACTCCCTGAACATTTAAAAGTCCTGCCACAGGTGCAGGCAGTGCCTGCTACCCACAGCCCAACAACCCACACCAGTGCAGCCCACAGAGTCCTGGCAGTGCCCAGCACTGTGCCCACCTGCCTGCCCCACCTTGGGGGATGGCCCTCAGCCCATCCCCAGGCACCACCACATCCCCCAGTGAACCCCCAAAAGGTGCAGCAGTGGGTACATGGGCTGTGCCCGAGCCAGCTCTGCCAGGCACAGGGCAGCCGAGGCCACGGCTGGGCAGGGAAGCAGCCCCACGACAACTGGAGGCAGTTTTTATTGTTTAACATTCCTGGTATTTTCTGTCAGGGCTGAACCAATTGTCCTTAATCCGCCAGGCTCTGCTGGCCAAACAAGTGTGGCTGAGCCACCAGCATCCTGTCCGCACGAACAGGCCCCTTTTGTGAGGGGGATTTAGCGTGTAGCCCAGTAAATCCTGCTGGTTTCCTGAGGCAGCGTTCCCACACCCCCACCGTTACAGCCCCCCTTGTGCCTGCTCCCAGCCCCTGGGCCCTGGCACCGATCCCTGCCTGGCCATGCCCACGGGCATCCCGTCTGCCCAAGTTCTGGGGCCAGGTACCTGCTGCCCCCCCCAGGATCTGCCACTCCAGGGCTGCAGATTCCCCTTGTTTGTTTCTGGGATATGTCTGTGACTCCTTGTGGGATGTGGGGTGTTGGTGGGGCTGAGAAGCTTCACAGCCACCCCACTACACTGCTGGTCCTTCATGGGATGCCGGGGTTCCCTGTGGGGAGTACAGTGGTTCTGGAGGGGTGCTGTGCTCCTGGAGCAGATGCTGTGATCCCCGGGGAAATGCTGAGCACCTGGGAAGGTGGTTCTGGTCTGGGGTAGGGGAAGGGTGTGTGCAGGGAAGATGCTGAGTCCTGGGGGAGACAGCACCCCAGGGGCCAGGACACCAGCTGGTTCCTCATTCCAGCTCCGGGATGTGGCTCCCAGCCCCTGCCCGGAGATGCCTTTGCTTAACGACTCTGTTGTTTGGCCGGGAGCTGATGTTGTCTTTTCTCCACAAAACAAAGGCGACAGGATTTTATCTCTGGGGAGAATCTGGTTTCTGTGAGATGCAGAGAGCCTCTGCCCCCGGGCAGGAGAGGGTGAGGCTGGGGGGGCAGAAAGGCACCAGGCTGCTGTCTGCCCCACAGCAGGAGGAGCTGGCACTGCCCCTCTGGCTGCTCCTCCCTGCCCCAGCCCTGCTCCCCGACCTGCTGTCATTATCCCATGCCTGTGCCCTGTGTGCCCAGGCAGCGAAGGGAGGGAGGAGCCAGCGGGCAGAGAAAAGGGGCCCGTGAGCACCCACACATCGGAGTAGAGGCTGCGGCACGGCCCCATCTCCTGTGGAGGAATCCAAACATTGGATCCCGCCAGGGACACCTCACACACTGATGAAGGCACACACAGAGACGTAGGCATGCACCCGGCCCTCATATCCATAGAGAAGCACCTGCACACTCACCTCCATGTGTGCACACTCACCTCAGGCACACCTCCAGGAACATCTCCCCATGCGTGCATCCACTTCCAGCTACGCACATACACTACATCCCCCACAAAATCCCCATGCATCGTCACACATCTGCATGCACGTCCCCACTTGCACACACATGTACAGCACAATCCCTATCCACACACACACACACGCACACGCACACACACGCACACACACGCACGCACACACCTCTGCACCTCCCTTCACGCACTCCCTCTCCCCCCAGCGGCAGAGCGGAGGCTCCAGCGCCCCTGCGGACCCCCAGCCCCACTGCGGAGCCCCAACGCCACTGCGGACCCCCAGCCAGGCTGGGGGTGCCGGCGAGGGCGGTGGTCCCATGCTGCGGACCCCCCGCCCGCCGCCCGGACCCGCCGGTGCTGCGGGAAGCCGCGGACTCTCAGCCCCATCTCCCGGCCGGCGGGAGGAGCTGCGCGGGGCGGGCAGAACGGAGCGGGTGAGCGGCTCTCCTGCCGCACATCCCCCGTATTTGGCTGGTGGCAGTGGCCTTCGCGGCAGGACAGGCACGGGACTGTGCTGGAAGGATGACAAACGCGGCTGGGAAAAACGTCTGCGGCATGGGGATGAATCCTGGCTCTGCTCTCCATCACCTGCACTGATGGATGGGGCTGGGAGTGGGGCAGGGCAGGGGGTTGGGCTGCAGAGCTACGCTGTGTCCCAATGTGCATCCCTTTGTATCCTTCCAGGTGACAGGAGCAGTGTGGGGAGGGCACCCCATGGGCACTCGAGCCTGGTGAACCTGGCTCTACCTGGGATGGATGGATCAAAGCCCAGCGTGAGCTCAGCCTCCTTGCTCGGGGCTGAGAGCCCTGTGCACCCCCTAAGCTGAGGATGGGGGCAACCTGAGGGCTGGGGAAGCAGGGCAGTCCCGAGAGCAGCTGCAGCACCCAGACGGGCACCCTGGGCCTCGGCCCCTCGGGATTATCCCCATGCTGCATATGGCTGCTGCAGAGAGCAGCCTCCAGGTGACAGTGCAGCGACAGCTCTTCCGCGCCGGGCGGATTTGCTCAGCAGTGATGGCTCCTGTCCCCTGCAACTCTTGCCAGCGGTTCTGCCCGCACCCACCGCCCTTGTGTGTCCCTGGGCTGCCCCCGCAAGGTTTCGGGGGGCTATGGAAGCACCTAGGCAGGTGGACTGCGAGGTGAGGGACCTGGGATTCAGAGGTCACCCCGGCAAGAGGAGCAGCCCCCGAGCCGGGGACACCGGGCCGGTGCAGCCGCGCCTGGGGGCACGGAGCCGGGCTGAGCCCCACCCATGGTCCCGGCTCCCGCCGCTCCATCCCTGCGGTTTCAGGCCACGCAAGCCGCTTCCTGGGGGAAAGGGGGCCCCAGGCAAACCCTCCGGGCAGGATGCTCTCCGCTCCTCTCCTCCTCTGCTTCCTTCCTCTCCCTTGGCCGGGCCAGCCCTCCCCCTGCCCGCCGCGACTCCTTAACCCTTTCGCCCACGCTCCCGGCCGCGATCCAGCCCCACGGCCACGGCTTCCAGCCACCGCCCCCGGCCCTTTGTGCAGGATCCCGGTGCTGCCCCCGGGGTCCGCGCTCCCCCCAGGCCCCGCCCCGGCGAACATCCGCGGCCGGAGGCGACTCGCAACCAGCCCATCCTGCCCGCGGCTCCCGCGGGACCCGCACGGGCCACGGCTCCCTCCGCGCTGGGGTATGGGGCTCCCCGCTCCTCATCTCCCTCGGGGAAAGCGCGGGGGAGCCCCCGGTGCGGGGCCGCGGTGCCTTCGGCATCCCCGCGGGGGCGGAGCGGCCATGGCGGGAGCCGGGGATGCGCATTCCCGCCGGGCGCGGGGGCACCGGGCCGTTCCCGTGGGGGCGCCGGGATGCGATCTGTGCGCGGGCACCGGGGCCTGCAGAGGGAGCCCGCAGTGCCGGCGGTTCCGTGGCTGCCGGCCTGACCGGCCATAGCGCTGGGCGCGGGGCTGGGCCGGGGGTGAGCACGATGGCGGGGTGGGGGCTGAGGGCGAACCCCGCGGTGGGGCGGCCGCAGCCCCCGCGCCCCTCGCTGCAGCCCGCAGACAAAGCCGTGAGGCGGCGGGGCCGGCCACGCTGCCCGGCGTGCCGCACATCCGGGCGGGAGCGGGCGGCAGCGGTCGGGATGCCATTTCCCTGTTCTCTGCCGGAAGAGACGGGCCGGAGCAGGGCCCTTCCTGCGGGCCTGGCCGTGGCACGGGCAGAGGTGACACAGCAGATGGGAAGTGCGTCTGAGGGCACCCCGCCACCGCTGCCGTGCTCCTCCCAATACCCACAGGGCTGCAGGTGGATCGCTGCGGGGCCCCGCGGGGACAGCGGGATGTGGACGTGCCTCGGGTGTGCGGAGCCGCCCGGGCATCGCTGCCCAAGCAGGACAGCCCTGCACACCAGTGTCCCGTCGGGGTGTGCTGTGCCCTGTGCCCACGGACCAAGGGCTCACAGGGGGAAACCAGGCTGGGACGTGTCCTGATGGTGGCCCTGGCTCTCCCCCCTCAGCCTAAGAGGGGGCACTTCTGCAGAAGGAGGGCAGCTGGTGACAGTGCCCAGGGTACAGCTCCTCTGCTTGGAACAGCCCTAAACATCTCCCCAGGTCGCTCACTGGGCCTCAGACACCAGGCTCTGGGAGGACACCAGGCGTTCCTGCTCTTCACACGCCCTGCCTGCCCCTGGGGGGGTATAAATAAACCACTAGCTTTATTTTGGGAACCTGGCAGAAACGTGCATGGCAGGTTGCTCCAATGGGAAAGGAGGAAACTTGGCTGTTGGGGCCTCTCCCAGGTGTGCCAGGCTGCGACTCCCAGTCGATCCCTGAGAGATGGACGATATATTTCCCCCATTCAGGTGTAAACCAAGGGATCCAGGCACACTGGGTGATGCCCCAGCTCTCTGAAGGTGGGAAGACCTGTGTGGATACTGGAACTCAGTGCCAAGTTCATTCAGCACTGGGGCACAGCGTGGCCCCAGCTCCCACATGTCACCATGGCACATGAGCATGGAGGGAAAGGGCCTAAAATAGGTCAGGTGGCACCAGCTGAGCCCTGGGCTGGGACCTCGAAGGCACAAACATGTCACGAGCTTCCTGCCGAGCAACCCCACCCTCCGTGGGTGTGCTGGAGTGGCATGAGCTGAACATGGCAGTCTCTCCGGGGCTGCAGCACACCAGTGGGGTGGCAGTGGGTCGGGGACCTTGGTGTGGCTCCTCAGGAGCAGATGCTGGGAGAAATGGTTGCTCCATCACCAGCCACAGACAGGGCAGAGGAAGTGCATGGGCAAGACGGCAGGGGCACTAGGAAGGCAGGTGCCCTCAGCGGGGCTGCCAAGGTGCGCAGGCAGGGAGGAGGCAAGTCCTGAGTGCCCTGCTGAGGTGCCAGCCCGCAGCCGCTCCAGGACAGCGTTTCAGCGGGGAAAAGCTGCGCCTGCGGGGCAGCGAGGCCCGGGCAGCGGGTGCTCCCTGCCTGGGTGCGCAGAGCGGCTGCTCCGGGGCCCAGCCCGGCGGGGGGAGCGCGGCGCCAGCACGGCCGGGGGCTCCCGCACGGCCGGGACGGCGGAGGGGGGGGCGAAACAAAGGGCAGCGTTGGCGGCGGGGGGAGCGGGTCCGCCCGGGCAGCGCCGCGTCGAGCCCCGCGGCGGCACCCCGGGGGGCGGCAGCGCGGCCCTGCCCCCCGCGCGGCCCGGGCAGCACCGCCCCGGTGCCACATCCCCGCGCTGCCCCGGCTGCCCCCCGCCCCGTGCCTGCCCAGCCGTGCCGGTGCGGCGGCGGCGCGGCGCGGCGCCCGGACCCGTGCGGCTGGCGGCGGAGACCCCGGCCCGCAGCGGAGGTAGCGACGGAGCCGCCGCCCGCCGCGGGCCGGTTGCGGGGGGCGGCGGTGGCAGCCCGTCCCGGCGGAACGGGCGGGCGCGGGGCCGGTGCGCGCCGCTCGGCGGCGGGAGGGCGGGTGGGAGCGCGGCTGTCCGGGAGCGGCGGAGCCCGGCGAGGACAGCCAGGCCGCGGGCACCCGGCGCCGCTCCCCGGCGGGCGAGGCTCGGCAAGGCTCGCACGGCTCTGCACGGCATCCCCGCGGAGGGCGACGGCCCGGCCCGCCGGTGCGCGGGAGGGCGGCGGGGGAGCGCGGCGGGGGCGCCGGGCCGGCCCGCGGGGCGCGGCGGACAATGGCAGGGGGCAACCCGAACCCAGCGGAGGCGGGCGGCGACCCGCGCCACCCGCCCCGCTGACCGCCCGCGGGCACCGGGGCCGGGAGCGTTGCCGAGCGGTGCACGGGGACCGGCTCCGCCCGGGTGCCCCGCCGGGGCGCAGGGCCTGGCCGACTCCATTTTGTTGGCGCCCGCTCCGCCGCCGTTCGCAGGCCCGCGGCCTGCCCGGCGTGGGGGGGAGGCGGGGGGGAGCGGCGGGGGAGACACTGCGGGGCCGCCCCGTCCCGTCCCGGCCGGTGCCCCCTGCCGCCGCCTGCGATGGAGGTGCGGGTGGCGGCCCCGAGGCCGCGGTGCCGGGCGGGGGGATGCGGGGAGCGGGGCAGGCCGGGCCGGGCCGGGGCGCGCCGGGGGGGGGCAGCACTGAGCGCCCCCTCCCCACCTCCCCCTTCCGAGATGGGGGGGGGGGCCATCGAGGGGGGGTTGCTCGTGCGGGGGGGGTGGAAGGGGGGGGCAGGCGCGCGCGGGCGCGCGCGCGCTGATTGGCCGCGGCCGCCGAACCCCAAGAGCGGGGGCGCGCGGGGCGGGCGCGCGCCCTCGCGGGATGGCGGCGGCGGCGCCGGGCGCGCGCATGCGGGGGAGGGAGGAGGAGGGAGGCGGCGGAGCGGCGGCGGGGCCTGGCCGGGCCGGGTCGGCGCGTCTCCCCATCCGCCCGCTCCGGGGGCAGGCGCCGAGCCGCCCGCGGCACCCGCAGGTGAGCGGCGGCCCTGCGGCAGCGCTCAGCAGGGCGAGCGACCCCGGCGCCGGCCGTGCCGAGCCGGGGTGGCCGGGCCGCGGCCTGGGGCCTGTAATCCGGCGGTGGCGGAGCGGGGCCGGCGGAGCCCAACGCGGCCCCCGGGTGCGGCTGCCATTTTGCGGTGCAGGCTGGGCTGACCCCATTGTGCTGTGCCCGCAGGTGGATGCCCGCCGCCCGGCATGGAGCAGGCCTGCGAAGTGAGCCGCCGCAGCTGCCTCGTCCCCTTCGGCACCTCGCTGTCGGCCGCCGAGCCCAAGGGCGGCCCCTTCGGCGAGGCCCGCGGCCCCGAGCCGCCCGCCATGCAGCTGGCGGCCGCCAAGCCCGGCTACGGCCAGGACCCGTCGTCCTGCTACATCCCGCTGCGCCGGCTGCAGGACTTGGCTTCCATGATCAACGCCGAGTACCTCGGCGGTGCCGCCGACGGCGCTGAGGCCCTGCCCGACCCTGGCTCGCCGGGGCCCCGCCTGCCCGGGGCGCAGGACCCTGCGGCCGAGGTGCCCCGCGGGGCCCGGGCCTTCCCCCTACTCCTGCGGGACGGTGCAGAGGAGGCGCTGGAGGAGGAGGAGGAGGAGGGCGCCGAGACTCCGGAGGAGGAGGACGACGACGACGACTACGACGACGACGACTACGAGGAAGAGGAGGAGGACGAGGACGACGACGAGGAGGAGGCGGCGACAGAGCCCGGCCCGCGGAGCCGCGGCCGCTCAGCTCCGCAGCGGGGCCCCGACAGCCGCCTGCAGCCGGCCGAGTCCGTGCCGGACGGCGGCCCCGGGGAGCAGCCGGAGTCCTCGGCCGCCCTGCAACTCGTAAGCACTGTCGGGGCGCGGGCGGGGGGGCCGCGGCCGCTGCCATTTTGCGGTGCGGCAGGGCCGGGCCGGGCCGGCCGCGCTGCCTCCCTCGCCCCGGCACCCCGGAGGATGGGAGCCATCTTACCGAGCGAGGGGAGCCCGCCGGGGCCGGCGCGGGCTGTCACCGCGCTCACCGCGCACCTGTGTCCCGGCGCGGCCGCCCGCGCTCCCCCCACCGCTTTTTCTCCCGTCAGGAATAAGAGGCATCATCCATCTGCCCAGCGACTCGCTGCGGAGTTCGGTGGAGTTTTTTCCCCGTTGGAAGGGGTTTTTTTGAGCGCGGTGCAGATGAGGAGGGCAGGAGGGAGCGTTCCCATCTCCTGCCGCTCCGGCTGAACGCTGTCAGAGGCTCTTTGTCTGGCCAGGCCTGAGGTTCCCGAGCTGTGAGACCTTGGCGGTGGCCGGGGAGAGGCCGTGTCATGGCCTGACAGACCTCACGGGGAGCAGACCTTGCCTCTTATTCAGGCGGACTTTTTTGTTTGTTTCTTTTAATTCCTCTCTACACTCACAAATTCCTTTAATTATAATATAATTAATAAGAAGCAGAACAGATGGAACTGTAGTAGGAGTTCTGAAAGGAGATAGATGCATTTAGTAAATTTTTTGTGTAATTTGCTTTTGAATCCAAGTATAAGAGATGTTTCTCAGTGTAACCTTTCATTTGCAGCCATATATGTATATTTCCTTCAGTTTTCAGTTGTGTGGGGTTTTCCTTGTTTATTTCTTCAATATGTTTTTCAACCTCAAGGTTCCCTGCTGGAGGATACTCTGGACTTAAAGTATTGATGCAGGGTTTGAAGATTAGCTCCTTTGATAGGACTAATACCGAAACCATCTTGCTCTCTAATTTCAGTAGAGCCGCTGATGCCGGACAGATCGTGCTGTGGGAGGCAGGATTGTGTTCCTTTGGGAACACTCCGCGTTCCTGCTGCGTGCTCTGGGAGGTGGGCAGCCCTTGTCACAGAGTGCCCGTGCAAGGGGCGATTTCAGGAAGATGCTGACAGCAGCTGAATTTGTTTGTGGAACAGTTTTTACTCTTCAGCGTTCCTTGGGAAGAATCCCTCTGTCTCTGGTGGTGAGAGGCTGCTGTGGGTCTGAGGTTTGAGCATCTCTTCAGTTTTGTTTTGCAGAGGAAAGCAGGGATCTCTCGCAGACATGTGCTCGGTGATGCAGTTGTGGGAGGGTCTCACTTTGTAAACAGAAGCTCGCAGAGGTACTTTCACAACACTTGCCTTTACAACGTGCTCCACAGAACTGCAGCTGGTAGAGTGACAAAACCGTCCCAGTGACGGGAGCCTGTTATTTGAATATGCAACGAGGGTTGACTTTTCAGTGAAACTGCCTTACCTGTGTGCTGTAGTTAGCCTTGCTGAGTTGTTCTGGTGACTTGAGAGCACAGCTGCATTCCTAAAAAAATGCAAATAAGAAAAGCATTTTTTAGGCAGCCTGGGGTCCTGCTTTTCCTGAGTCTTGCATTCTTTCTTCAGTGAGTAAATGCAGTAGTCCTTCATTTAGCCCCACTGCTTGTGGAATGGGAAAAGACAGGGCCAAGTGCCAAGTTACCTCTGAGGCAATTTAAATCTTTTAATGGTTGAACATGACATAGTAGTTAGAAATATCCAGGTTTGCTCTTCAGGTCATGTATTAATTTAGGTATTCAATGCCAGTCTCATCTGTGTTTGGTAACTGAAATAATTTTTTTTTTGAGAACTTGCTAAAACTTGAAACAAAAACCCACCCCAAAAAAGGCATCACGAATCCCTGGGAGTTCTGCACAGCTGTGTGTCATAGCTGGGCTACTCTTAACGGGTATCAGCTTTATGCTGCTTGTTGATGGGTCTCCACCTTACAGCATGACTGTCTCAGAGCTTTCATTTTTGAAGCTCATGGCTCTGAGTGTGCCACTACTGCTCAAACTTCCTGTTTTGCCAAGAGGGAAGTGTGTGTGTGTATTTCCCATGTCTGTGTCTGTCCCTTGTAAGAATTGATGCTTGCCTTGAAAAGGCACAAATTTCAAGAGTGCTTGGAGCAGAAGGGCCAGAATTTGGTTTAGTCTTAAGTGAGATGCAAAATCCAGCATTTAAGTAATGCCTCTGGGCAGGAGGGGTGGTGACAGGTATTGTTTTGCACGGGGATTTGTTAATAGCCCTGGCACCTGCTGCTCTCACACATTTCCCCAAACAGGGGAGGTTGCTCAGGTGCCATTCAGTTGTAAAGAGGGATGTGCATATTCTGAACTAAAACTATTTTAAGTGCCACCTTAATCTTCCCTTAAGGGTGTCTGAACTTTCCAGCATCTCCTGACAGATTTTGTGTTGTGGAGAAGGAAATTATAGCATCACTTCTTGGGTCATGTTCTCCAGAGGTGGTGATACAGTGACTGCTGGCAGCTGCTGGCTTGGTGCCTTGTGTACATGTTGGGCTATGGCCATTTAAATTTAAATGGGTGGTTGTTCTTGGTATCTCTGTTCTTTACCATCCTGGTGTGAGTTTGTCTGTGGTGCTCTCCTGGCATTTCCAACTTGCAGAGGCCCTGGGCAGCATTATGTACCCTAGTCCAGACTCCAGTGCTGGGGAAGGTGAAAGTCTGAGTGCCATAGATGTTGCTTGGATTTAGATGCTGAGGAATTGGGGCAAGGTGGGCCTGTTTCTTGCAGAACTGTCACGTGAAAATTTTACTCTTCTAATGTAACTTTTGATGCCTTAATACTTCAGTTTGTTGGTTTGTTGGTTTTTAGTTAGTACACGCAAAGTATGTTTGAATAATTCGATTTGCAGAATTGAGCGTTCGAGGAAGCAGAGAGTTCTTGGATTCAGGTACATCTGGGCCACTCCTGCTGTGTATACATTTTGCATTCTCAAGCTGTTTTCTCCGTGAGACCCTGATGGTTTCAGACTTCAGGATGTGCAGAGGCTTGCATGAGGCTCAGTGTTGCTTTCATTATCATTTCCTTGTTGTCCATTCCCATGCTGCAGGACTGTGATGTTCCGGTAATGATAGTGAGGAAGTGAGGTACAGGGAAATTTAGAGCCAGATGTTTTGTCCCTAAGAATTGCTGCTTCCAGAGGCTGGGTGTGAGGAATGAGTGAGGCGTGTTTGTAATGTTCCAGGAAGGTTTTTGCTTTACCAGAATCACACTGTTTGCACTGTGTTAGAAGTACTGAAGGCCAGCAGAGTCCTCTCTGGAATTAATCCATTATGACCTTGAGTTGTGTTCTAATCAGCAGCTGTGGGAGGGTACTTTCACTATAAAGTGTTCATGTTGCCTATGTGAGAGTTACTCTGGTGCTTGGTCTATTAACTGATGTGTCTGGTGCCATTTCTCTCTCTGCTAAAAATAAAATGAAGGAACTAAAGCCACGTGATCCTCCCTACTCCTGTAAACATTTCTGAAAGAATCTCCTACTACAGACTGTTGATCCGAGGTGTAACTAACTACTGATAACATTATATCCCTGAGATACAGTAGATATGGCAGTGGTTTGTTTTAGCAGGGAACATAAATTTCCTTGGCCAATTGACATCTTCCTGGTGAGGAGATGAATTCTGTTTGGCTCTCAGTGATTCCTGCAAGCATCATCTCCTGCTCTGTGCATCTGGAGAGAACGGGGTCTTTGTGTGCTACTGTCCCCATGCCTGTGATCTGGCGCACATCCCCCTTTGCCAGTAGGATTTACACTGTTTGGAAGATGGTATTATTTCACAGAAAAGAGCTTGTAGCTGGATCTTGCCTTGCTGTGCAGCCTGATGGCACCCACCAGGCCTTGTACTGAAGGGCATTCCTGTTTCAAATAGCTCTAAACTCACCTATGAAGGACTCCAGCCATGGTGAGTGTCCAGAAGAATGGGAATTACCAACGTGAGGGCCCTGTCCTTGCCTGTGTTATTGCTTGACCATAAATTTTTAAGGTCCTTAATGACTTCATGCTTTCACGGTGTGGTGATGCTGCATTGCCACTTGGTCATGGGGAGGTGTGAGTGAGGGGGTGTTAGGGGCTGTCACAGCAGGACCTGCAGTGTGTGAGAGCAGCTCCTTCTGAGGGTTTTGAGCAGTCTGTAGGATCCAGAGCTCTCCTGCACAGCCGGTTGGATCCTGGAAGTTTTATCATAGCATTTGGCTGAGATTGCCCTTCCTCTTCTTGTTTTATTGTATTTGTTTTCTGATTGCTGATTAGGTGTGAAATATCTATTTGTGTACATGGTTTTACAGGAAATGACTTGGTTTCTCTAGAAAATAGCTGGTGTGCTGTGTGAAATTTGAATAACTGATGCCTCTGTGGTTCATGTTCTGAAG